CTCCCCAAGATCAACGAGTCTAGCAAGACCTTCAGACACTTAATTGTGAAATTCGCAAATCATAATTTCATACAGGAGGTATTAAGGGCAGCTAGGGGGAAGAGATTCTTTACGCACATAGGACAGTCCATCAGAATAATATCAGACCTGTCAACAAAAACCTGGCAAGTCAGAAAGGGCTGGCAAGACATACTCAGGGCACTAAATGAGAAGAACATGCAGCCAAGAATACTTTATCCAGAAAGGTTGACATTCGAAATGGATGGAGAGATAGAGAGCTTCCAAGACCATCAAAGTTTAAAAGAGTATGTGACCACCAAGCTGGCACTACAAGAAATACTAAGGGGGTTGGGAGAGTTCTATAAAAGAAGAAAGAACCTAAGAATGACATAAAACAGAAATTTACAGAGACAATCTTTAGAAACAAGGACTTCACAGGCAACATGATGTCCATAAAAATGTATCTTTCAATAATCGCCCTCAGTGTGAATGACCTAAATGCATAAAATAGCTCAGGGTTGTAGACTGGCTAAAACAATGGGACCCATCCATATGCTGTCTACAAGAGACACATTTGGAACCTAAAGATATATCCAGACTGAAAGTGAAGGATGGAGAAGCATCTTTCATGCCAAAAGGCCTAAAAAAAAAAAAAAAAGCTGGGGTAGCAATTCTCCTATCAGATAAATTAGACTTACTGTGTTCAGAGATACACAAGGACAACACATCATTCATTAAGGGACTATCCACCAAGAAGATCTAACAATTGTAAATATTTATGCTCCCATATTGAGTTTTTCTGGAGCAGCCAACTACATAACCCAACTGTTAAAATAGTCATATTGATATGAATACATTAGTTGTAGGGGATCATAACATGCCACTCTCAGTAACAGACAGATCATCCAAGCAGAAAATCAACAAAGAAACAAGAGCACTGAATGACACACTCAAGCACATGGACCTCGTAGATATCTACAGAACATTCCACCCTAAAACAACAGAATACTCATTCTACTCAAGCACACATGGACCTTCTCCAGAATAGACCACACATTGGGTCAAAATCAGGGCTCGACTGATGCCAAAAATTTCAGATTATTCCCTGTGTATTCTCAGACCACAATGCTTTACAACTGAAACTCAACTAAAAGAAAAAGTTTGGAAGGAATTCAAACACTTGGAAGCTAAAGACTTTGGAAGGACTACAAACACTTGGAAGGTAAAGACTACAAACACTTGGAAGCTCAAGAATGTTTGGTACAACCAGGAAATCAAGGAAGAACTTAAACAATTCATGGAAACCATTGACAATGAAGAAACATCAGTCCAAAACCTATGGGATATGGCAAAGACCATATAAGGGGAAATACGTAGCTATCCAAGGCTCACTCAAAAACATAAAAAAAAAAAAAATCCCAAATATACCAACTCTCTGATACCTTAAAGAACTGGAGAATCAACAACAAATTAAGCCAACACTGTATATACGATGCGAAATAATTAAGATCAGAGCAGAGATCAATGAGTTAGAAACTAGAAATACAGTAGAATGCATCAATGAAACTAGAAGCTAGTTTTTTGAAAGAATCAATAAGACCAATAAACCATTGGCCAAACGAATCCAAAAGAAAAGAGAGAAGGTTAAATTAATAAAATTATGAATGAAAAGGGAGAGATCACAACTAACATCAAGGAAATAGAAATAATCATCAGAAATTATTGTCAACAGTTATATGCCAATAAGTTAAGCAACCTAGATGAAATGGATGCATTCCTTGAAAACTGTAAACTTCCAAGACTGCATCAGGAAGAAATTGACAACCTGAAGAGCCCAATATCTAGTAATGAGATTGAAGCAGTGATCAAAAACCTCCCAAAGAACAAGAGCCCGGGACCTAACGGACTCCCTGGGGAATTCTACCAAACTTTCAAAGAAGAAATAATATCCATTCTCCTAAAGCTGTTTCAAAAAATAGAAACAGAAGGAAAACTTTCAGACTCTTTCTACGAAACCAGCATTACCCTGATCCCCAAACCAGGCAAAGACCCCATCAAAGAGGAGAATTTCAGACCAATATCCCTGATGAATACGGATGCCAAGATTCTCAACAAGATCCTAGCTGATAGGATCCAACAATACATTAAAAAGATTATCCACCATAACCAGGTAGGATTTATCCCTGGGATGCAACTGTGGCTCAACATTTGCAAATCAATGAATGTGACAGAACAAATCAATAAGAGAAGAAAGAAGAACCTCATGGTCCTCCCAATTGATGCAGAAGCATTTGACAAAATACAGGATCCTTTCCTGAATAAAACTCTCCAAAGTATAGGGATAGAGGAAACATTCCTCAACGTCATAAAATCTATCTGCAAAAATTCCACAGCGAATATCATTCTCAATGGGGAAAGGCCCACTCTCGTCACTGTTGTTTGACATAGTACTAGAAGTCCTAGCAACAGCAATCAGACAACAACAAAAAAGGAGATATTCAAATTGGCAAAGAGAAGTCAAATTCTCTTCATAGATCACGTGACACTTTATACGGAAAACCCAAAAGACTCCAGCCCCAAACTACTAGAACTCATACAGGATTCAGTAATGTGGCAGGATAAAAAATCAATGTACAGAAATCAGTTGCTTTCTTATACACTAACAATGAAACTATAGAAAGGGCAATTAGAGAATCGATTCCATTTACTCTAGCACCAAGAACCATAAGATACCTGGGAATAAACTTAACAAAAGAGGCAAAGGTTCTGTACTTGAGGAACTATAGCATACTCAGGAAAAAACTGAAGAAGACACAAGATGGAAAAATATTCCATGCTCATGCATTGGAAGAATAAACATTGTTAAAATGTCTATGCTGCCCAGAGCAATCTATACTTTCAATGCCATTCCGATTAAAATTCCACCAGCATTTTTCAAAGTGCTGGAACAAATAATCCTAAAATTTATATGGAACCAGAAAAGACCCGGAATTGTTAAGGAAATGTTGAAAAAGAAAAACAAAGCTGGGGGCATCATGTTGCCTGATTTCAAGCTTTACTACAAAGCTGTGATCACCAAGACAGCATGGTACTGGCACAAAAACAGACACATAGACCAGTGGAACAGAGTAGAGAACCCAGATAAGGATCTGCAAGTCTATGGTCAAATAATCTTCGAGAAAGCAGGAAAAAATATCCAGTGGAAAAAAGACAGCCTCTTCAATAAATGGTGCTGCAAAAACTGGAGAGCTATGTATAGAAGAATGAAACTCTACCATTCTCTTATACCATACACAAAGATAAGCTCAAAATCGATAAAGGATCTCAATGTGAGGCAGGAATATATCGAAATCCTAGAAGAGAACATGGGCAATAACCTCTTTGACATTGGCCACAGCAACTTCTTTTAAGACATGTCTCCAAAGGCAATGGAACCACAGCGAAAATAAACTTTCAGGACTTCATCAAGATCAAAAGCTTCTGCACAGCAAAGGAAACAGTCAATGAAACAAAGAGGCAACCCACACAATGGGAGAAGATACTCGAAAATGACAGTACAGACAAAGGGCTGATATCCAAGGTCTATAAAGGACTCCTCAAACTCAACACCCACAGAACAGATAATCACGGCAAGAAATAGGCAGAAGACATGAACAGAAACTTCTCCAATGAAGACATACAAATGGCTAACAGACACATGAAAAAATGTTCATCATCCTTAGCTATCAGGGAAATTCAAATCAAAACCACGCTGAGATACCAAGTTAACACCAGTTAGAATGGCCATAAGTAACAAGACAGCAAGTGTGGAGAGGATGTGGAGAAAGGGGAACCCTCTAACACTGCAAGTTGGTGCAGCCACTTTGGAATACAGTGTGGAGACTCCTTAAGAAATTAAAAATAGAGCTTCCCTATGACCCTGAAATTGCACTACTGGGTATTTACCCCAAAGATACAGATGTAGTGAAAAGAAGGGCCATCTGTATTCCAGTGTTCATAGCAGCAATGGCCAGAATTGCCAAACTGTGGAAAGAGCCAAGATACCCTTCAACGGATGAATGGATAAATAGGATATGGTCCATATATACAATGGAGTATTATGCCTCCATCAGAAAGGATGGATACCCAACTTTTATCAACATGGACAGGACTGGAGGAGATTATACTGAGTGAAATAAGTCAAGGAGAGAAAGTCAATTATATGGTTTCACTTGTGGAGCATAAGGAATAACATGGAAGACATTAGGGGAAAGGAAAGGAAAAGTGAATTGGGGTAAACTGGGGGTGGGGGGAGATGAACCATGAGAGGGTGTGGACTCTGAGAAACAAACTGAGGGTTGTGAATGGAGGTGTGGGCGGTTAGGTGAACCTGGTGTTGGGTGCTAAGGAGGGCACGTGTTGCATGGAGCACTGGGTGTGGTGTTATAAACAGTGAATCTTGGAACACTAAAAAAAAAAAAAGTCCCACATCCCCAAACATAAAATATTTTCTCAAATATTCTGAAGTTAGGTGATTAGGGTGGAATTTTATTTTTTAATTTTCCAATTCAACAGATGTCATTTTTAACATTGAGTTTGGTTATGAGAATACAGATGTATATACTAGGCACCATAAAGCAGTGATGAGCATTTGCATTTTAGGGCAATAATTAACTCTTCAGTCCTTTTACCTTGATAAAAAGTGTTAGGAGTATAGGAATGCAAATTAATTTTTGAGATTACTTTAAAACTTTTGCTCTTTCCTTGCTTATAGCCTCCTGATGAAGACAGTATGTCTCCTAAGTCTCATCAACCTTTGTGCAAACGCAAGTTTTACAGAAATTAATGGAGGTGAATAAGAGCTAACAGTTTGACTTTCTTAATACCTTTAATCGATTACCCTGGTCAAATATCTCACTGTAGGCTTTTATCTTTTTAATGCAGGGGGTGTATTGTGTTGTTTTGATTTTTAAAGGTATTATACAGTTGCTTAAGTAAGCAAATAAAAATATTCCCCTAAATGATTGAAATTTGTTAATTTATTTTTCTAAAGTTTGTACATTTACATATATCATATACATATTTTAAATCCTTTGCTATTTTGCATGACTTCTATTACATAAAATCCACTTAAATCCAATAGATTTTGTTGTTGTAAAACAACAAATTATCCCCAACTTATAAAAACACAGGAACAGTTATATTCATAAACATTTACACAATAGAGAAAAGTACTGTGTATATGTCACAGGTTCTATACACATCAGGTGACTCACTTGTCTACATGGTTTAGGTTTACTTCAACAACAGTGAAATGGGGTAATATTTATATACAACTATTTTAATAAAAAATAAAGCAATTGTAAAATGTAAACTTAATTTTCAAAAATTCTCTAAACACTTTAACAATACCCACATAAATTACTGTTCCATTAAAAAGATGACCACCATAAATGCCATAATTTTCTAGGAGATGGCATTTCTTCAATCTGGTGGGTGATAATAAGGAACAGGTTTCCTAGCTTACCTAGGTCTGCTAATGCTGACAGACTGGCCACTGAAAAGGAGTAGTCTGCTCTTTTGTCACTACCTTCACAGTTTGCAGGGAGATATGGCACCAGGACTGCAGTCAAACTGCAATGATTGGTGGAGAAAACTTTGAAGATAAAGGAATGTTCCACACTGCCAATTAATCTGAATCACGGCAAATATAACTCAGTTACTAGGCTGGAAAAGTTAGAAGCTTGTTCTGTGTTAAAGGATACATACTACCTACCACCCTTCTACCTGTCCTATAGTAATCAAGGCTGACAGTATTGGTTCTCCACTTGTATAAATTTCTGTTCTAGAAACGGGCTCCTAAAACCCGAGGTAAAAGAGAATGTAGGGAGGCATTTAGGCCTTTACCCAACAGCTCTCATCTGAACTGAGTAGAAATGCGAAGCAATAAACTTAGTGTTTCTTGACCCTTTGCACAGAACTGAAACATCCATTTCCAGAAATCTGGGTGCAAAGGCAAGATATCATCCCTCCCTGGTTAGAATTCAATGTGCCAGTTTGTTTCTTGCAAAGGCAAAATATATGGTCTTGGCTTAGGTAGAGAATTTTTAAAATACCTTTGTCATGTGTCTCCACCAGTGACTCAGTCACTCCGAGTGGATATCTTTCCTCAGCAGGGTCAACCCCTTAGAACAGCTTGATTCCCAAAGCTGGGGAAATAGCACTGAAATCCAGGATGTGCTTGCTGCTCAGTAGAAGCCCTAGTGGAGTGGGAGGCCAGAAGAGAAGCTCCGCTTTGCAGAGAGAATATATTATCACCCTCTGTAGTGCCCCAGTATTCAGGGGTCAGAGCAAGGAGCCTCAGACCTACAGTACTGTCCTTAACTGAGCTTTCTGAATAGGATTCTCCTGGGAGTGTCTAAAGTCTTATCTATACAAGCTCACAGGGAAATGGCAAGTGAAACCCCAAATTTCTCTCCACTAACCAACATTTTCAGGAATTGAAGAGAAGGTGCTTTTTATAACACAATTAGTGAGAGTTTAGTTCTTTACCCTGCAAAGGAAAATACATTTTAGCTAAGTTCCTTTTCATCTCCATCTTCACTGTCATTGCTTAACTGTTCGGCATACTTCCATCTGAGCTTCTCACCAGTACAGCTCAAAAGGGAGTGTGTACAATTCACATCAATGCTCCTATGGTAAGTACTTTGTTGCTGCTCCATTTATGTTCCTATCTCAAAGGAATGATCTCCAGGGCAAGCAGCAATGCCACTCTGGAAAACAGTGAACATCAATCAGCCTTCTGGAATGTCCCCATGCTACTGCGGGGTGTTGGGAGACCTCCTGCTTGTGAATTATAAGAAAGATTTCAATTTGGTGGATGTGATAGTATGTCCTCAAGTATTTGTTAAAAATCCAATGCTTCTCAAAGTCAGACATTAGAGCTCAAACTCCTCCCTAGCCCTTAGAAAACATTCCTGTGATGCAGCTTCCACCCACTCAGGTTCATCACCTCATTTACACTCTGGCCCTTTGTGTTTTAAGTTTCTACAACTTAAAACATTCACTATGTGCACTGTGTGCAAGTGTATGTACACGTGTGAGAGGCCCAGATGTGTAAGACTTCCCCCTACACACCTAAGGGGACAGTAAACTGGTTCTGAATCTCTCAGGAGCAGAGGACTGACCACATGTATGTCTACCTTAAATGGAAGGCAACCAGCTCACACACTTCCCCTAACAAGCCCCCTAACTTCAATTTGGTCTAATTAGTTTCATTCCTATAGCTTAAAAAAGTATTCTAACAGCATTAAAAATCAATGTGCATATATACTCTCTATACAGTGAATATTATTATCCACACCAAATGGTTACTTGGCTTTATAACCTACATGGCTTTGTATTAAAAGTCCAAACATTTCAAATGATTAAGGCCCAAAATGAAACTTTATTTTTGCTACTCCTTTTGTATATACTTTCTGAATCAAATGGATGCTTTTGCAAATCACTATAATTTTTAGAAAGAAACACACTCTTGCAGAACAAAGACCCTGCTGATAAGTCACAGAGCCAGTTCACTGCACGTCAAGAACAAATTAGGAAATATATTTGCAAAAATAGTTTGAGACTGTAGAATGAATAAAAACTCCAATGTAACTACCAACATACTACTGCAGACTGGAGCTGAAGATTAGTCTCCCACTCCACAACTCCAATTCTCTGAACCAGATGCAAAGAATAGGAGAGAGTATGTTTAAAAATATACTGCACTCAATCACTCACTCAAACATACTCAGTTGTGGCTTTAAATACACCAAACATGCTGGTTAGTACACATTTAATCTCTAATTATCTATTTACACACTGTAAGATAAGCAGTAAGCTCAAACAACTAAGGCCAGTGGCTCTTCTTTGGGGAGAGGCAGGGTGAGACCTAAGTATAAAAATATTAAATAAAGTTTTAACCTGGTCCATAGCCTGCCCTAAAATTCTTTTACTTGTGATACTAGATGCTAATTTGTACAACTGCAAACCTAGAATATAGTACCTGATCTTGGGAAGCCCTGATACACTTGAACATTGTAATATTTCTTTAAAGTAAAGAGGGTAAGGAGGTGGTGCTAGAAGAGTGGTTTGAACTACTGTAAAACAGACACAGGCACAAAAATGATATGGTGGGCACCTATTCAATTCTTCTGAAAGCTCGATTTTTCTGGACCAATTACAACAATAAAGAACGTGTGCTTTAAAGCATCACATTTTGTAATAAGCCCAAAACTGTCAGTTTGATTTTATGGTTAAGTGCTCAGAATACTGAAGTTGTTAAGACTGCATAGGATGCCTGTTTTTTTTTTTTTCTTCTGTATATCGCAAATTATAATGAGCTATCCCATTAGTATTGTACACAGTACACTGAAATAGTTTCACAAAGTTAGTTCAGAATCATTTTTGCCCTGGTGATTCAAAGATCTTAGATGAAATTTTTAAACATACAATCTTATTAAAAATCTAATCAAAATATCATTTTAAGTTTAATAAAACAGTACCACTATATATACTCTCAATAACTGTATTATATAATCAATCCTATGAGGTTTTTACTTGCTTTTCATATCACACTGGTTATTAAAGATAAAAATAAATTTGATATACATATACCATATACTGATATACAGTCTACACATTGATACATATACATATACATACATACAATATAAATACCCACAATACAACATTGGCAGGTGACAGAAAGCATTTTCTTTGATGTCTGACGTACTAGCTCTATGAATATTCTCCAAAAGCCTGCAATACTACAGATACACATAAATTACAAAGAATGAGCCAGGGAGATTTAAGGAAACTGTATATACAATTAATTAACTTGCAATATTTTCTTGCTGTTGCATTCAAGTCAACAAACTATCATGCAGATTCAAGTATGTACTGACATTCTCTCTATGAAGATATTCTCTTTGCATGCAATGGGTATTATTGTCTGAAGCAGAATGCTGCCCACTTGGGTTTTGGATACTACAGGTACAAAAGGAGAATGACAATGGCTTTGGACTTTAGTCCCCCTTTTAACAGTGAGACACTGAGAAGGAATCTGAGAGGACAAAGCACCTCCCTATCACTTGTTGGGATTATTTTGTAGTGAACTACTGACCTATGAAGTCCTCTATGTGACTTGATAGTATAAGATGTCAAAAGACAGATGGAAATACCTGTTGACCTGAGGCCAACGAGTAGCCTGACCTGGCCTGGGAGAAGAGACAGCAAGAAAGCTTTTGAGCAAGGTAGACCCAGAGACTCATCTGCCTGCAAGGCTGACTGATCTTTTGTCAGAGTAACTTAGATGCTGAGAAAAGCAGATGCTATTTAAACCCAAAGTCACACTATTATTCATTAACTAAACTTTTAATAAGTCCTAGGATGCCACTTTGGTTCTTTGCTTAACAGTGTTACTGTTACAACTGGAAAAAATTGTCATTCAAAAAGTGAAGCGATTGTTCGCTGCTAAAATTAAGGAAGGTAGCTACCAATGTGCTGAAAACTTGACTAGGTCCATGAGCTAAGGTACCGAAACTTGGACCTACAATGCTCTGAAACTCCCTGTGAATTCTGGCTTTAAAAAGCCTAACTGATGACTACAAGGAAAGATGCCAAAGGAATTCAAACTCTAAGAACAACTAAGTATACTCAAGAAAGTCTTGATAGTAAGACAACTTCTAAAAGGTAAAGTTTCTTTCCATTGTCTATGATTAGGGATAAAGGCAGAGCAGAGTTAAAGCTCATACCAAATCAGGCCCTGCCTTACTTAAGAACAGCTTTTTAAGCTCTTTACATCAGAAGGAGTAGCAAGCTAGGGCCAGCAGGAAACTCTCCTTCACTGCTGGTTATATAAATTCTTCTGCAACCTCAGAAGTTCTGTGGTTTGGCCACAGGGTGAAATACAAACTCTAGAGACCACTTCTAGCTTGGCCTTAGAAAGCCAGCCAATTTTGCTCTTCCAAAATTAATTCCCTCATACTGCTCTTGACTAGGACACAGTTCTCATCTTCTGAATTAGGATAACAGAGAAGCCTAGAGGGTCTTGCACAGTTGATTTCTACCTTCTTTACCTAAGATCAATAGTAACTACAGTTCTACCAGAGGAGTCTCCTACATATTGGTTTTACTTATGATTAATTAAAATACATGAAGTTGGTTTACTTAGGCATTGCTAAGAGTTACCAAAATGTTTCTAAAAAACTCACTTCAAACAATGGCTATAGCCTGGCAATAAAATGAAGACTCTGCATGCTAGTAGTTAAGTTTGATTGCTAACAATGGATTTCTAACAACTCTTGAAAGGTCAACATGCGAGGTGGGGGAACAAATCTTGAAAACACTCAAAAGATTTTATACATGGGCCACTTCTATGGTCAATTTTGCAACAAGACTATCACCAAGGTGTTCTGATGGCTATCAAGATTTTCTGTACAAAAAATAATATTAAGTGTATTTATGTGAAGGAGAATAATGATTTATCACATGGAGAGAAATCCCAAGGCTCCTGGTGCTGAGGTATGGGTGAGGAGTGGGGATGGGAAGAGGGGGAGTACCTTCAAAAGGAAAGGAGGAGAGGTCCCCTGTACTGTGAACAAGGTAGCAGGCTTGGGATAGCTGTGAAAGGAAATGTCTTCAGTTTCTTCTGACTAGATACCACATGAAAGAAATGATCATGAAGGAAATTGTGGTTGGCTATGGGCAAGATTCAGAATCTAGTCAAATCAGGGGCCCTTTCCTCCTATTGGATACACTCTTGGCCTGCTAGGTGCACTGACAACAGATTGGGCAGAGGTATCGCTCAACACATCCCTGCAGATGGGCAACATCATGCCAGGGCAATCTGGGATCCTGGCTAACAGAAAAACCTTTTGCAGTTGTTTTTAAAGAGAAACTATGCAAACATAGTATATGGCAGCTTCCAAGTGTCCTTCTCATTCATTTATCTATTAGCATATATAGCAGTTCCTGTGGCTAACATTAGTGAATCATACACTAGGCATAATGCTGTAGTGGTGCTGATGCCAACTGAGCATTTCAGAACTACTCTAAATGTCAGAAACACTGCAACAAGGTACCATTTCATGTCTATTATATACTGTAAGTAAAATACACAGAGACATTCTATATACACAGACACAGTCACACTGTGGACAAACACATTCAAGCCAATCAGGGATGTTTATTTTTCTTTAGTTATTGAAGCTCAGAGATGATATAGTCTAGGTATTTCTCTCTGCTTGGTATAAATAACTAGGCAGAAAACAAACAGGCTAATTATTCAGATTTAAGGAAGATAGATGATTCCCTCATGGAAATCTTAGATTTGGTCAGAAGCTACAGAAATGAATCAGGTACACAGGGCCATATTGGTAACTACCTTGTTTGTTTTATGGTTCTGAAACTTAAATTTAGTCATTGCCTTTATATAAACAAGATGGAGGGTTAGAGTAAGTTTTTCAAAGGTGTGGCAAAATATTTATCACAAAGCAAGCAGCTACAACCATAGCATGGGGTTTCTCTTTTCTGGGCACTAGCAAATATGGGCATTTATAGAGGTAAAGGAAATAAATGTTAATAAATAATGCTGGCATACCAGAACAGTATGCCACTAGAAACCACCACGGTTTAACAGCAAGTTTTCTCCAATTTACCAGAACCATGATATTCATGCAGAGTCCCTGATTCTTTGGTTATAGTACCTTTAACTAATAAACTGAGTAGAACTAGAGCAAATATGTATGGGAAGGAAAAGAGTATTCAAAGTGATTCCAATAGATCTGAAGTCATGGAGATTATAGCTTTCAGGATCACAAAATTTCAGGATTTCAAAATCAGAAACTTCTAACTCATAGAGGGCTCATTTTTCACTTTCTCTTCCTCTATAAGAGAATGTGCTGTTTCTCATCCTAAACTGCAAAGGGACCATCCCCGGAACAGACTCATTACTATAAGGTTAATAGAACTATTTTGCGTAGGTAGAAAATAATGATTTAAAATAAAGTACTTATTTTTAGGAAAAAGTTCAATAGTAGCAGAGTGAATTGGCTATCAAAAAGACTGAGATAAGAATAAAGTAAGTAACCTTGCATAGGCAACCAGTAGATTCTTCAGTTTTCCAACCACAATTCATTCAATTTATTACTTTCAGATTTATTTTAAAGAATCAGTATTCATTGCATTGCTGAACTGCAGCTACTTTTTCCTGTCTTATTTTGTCTTGATTAAAAAAAGAACAAAAGGGGTTCCATTTGCAACATTATTTTGTTAGGAAGACCCCAGTATTTCATAAACAGGAAATAACACCATGACTGAATAACCTAATTCCTGAATGACAGGGTATTGATGATAGAGATGATTCTGGATTCCTAGTCTAGACCCTGGGAGTGAGGTAACAATTTCCTACACACCAACCACATGCCTACGGCTACAGCTCCCCAAGAGTCGATTATTGCCACTACCCTTTAGGAAACAAAATGAACTTGGTGTTGTCTTTCCACAACCTTCAATGGCAAAAGATTTCACTCCCTCTTTCCTTCTTTGGCTGAAATGTAATCAACACTTCAAGGAAGCTAATGCACTTCTTAGGTTCTCCAAGTCCTCTGACCTTCACACTTCCTATCCCTGCTTTCAGCAGGATCACACCTCAACAATAAGTGCGAAGATGTATGCACACCTGCATCACAGTGGAACATCTTGAGTCCCAGAACTGTAATTCCTAACTGAATTTCTGTGAGTGCTCATTTCACCTCTGTGACTGAGCAAGATTTCACATATAAAGGCTTATATGAACTCTGGCTAGAATTTGCTAACTACCAAGTTCGTCCAGTTAAATGTTTCATAATGAATTAAATTTTTTAACCTTCAAAAAGTGTAATAGCTGATTCAAGAATACATAAAATGACTGAGCAGAGGGCAAATAAGAAAAAAACCAAAGGAAAAGTGACACACAATTAATTCTGAAATCATGATCCCCTCCCCCTCACGAAAAAGGTGCATTAGTCATCAAGTAGCAAAAAAATCATCAAAGCGAAGAAATTAAGAGCAAAGAGACAATCAGAACAGAAACTAACAAAACTATACAATAGAAAAGGTTACTAATGCACCGTTTAGTCACAGACTGTTTAAAAATATATTCACGGGTTTACCAGAAAGATCTTGAAAAACTCTATTTTGCTCCATGACCAGTACTTCCTGGTCACAGATGGATTCTAAGTGACTTTTTGCTTAATGCTTGGTGTTTCAGGTCGGTGATCTTTCCTCTCTGACACGTTACGCTTAACCTTGGCTGTGACTGGGGATGAATCCGGATTCAGTGAAGGACTTGAATGTGACTTCTTCAGTCCTGCAGCCTCACTTTCATTGTTACTCAGGAGCTCCTTGCCTCCTTCTTTTAGAATGCTGACATAAATTTCATAACGGGTTTTCTGGAGGGAAAGTGAGAGAAGAATGGTAGTCAGTATACTGTTCATAAATGCATGGAAGAATCATGCTTCTTCAACATCCAGGCACAAGAATGGTAGAAGCTTGAGGAGCTATGACCTCTGGTTGTGAGCAATTAGATGGCTCCTGTGGTACAGTCACCTGAGCTTCCCTCAAATGACCAAGGCCTTCACTTGAACCTAGCTTGGATATGGTTGTTTACTCCCTTTCCTACCCCCTGTAATTCTATAAAGACTCAACTTGAGGAATCAGTCTATGGTGAATCTATTCTCCAGTTCCCTACAAGATCACAACACTTCCTAGAAGCTGCTATGGGTTTCCCACCATTGCTTTTCTGTTAGAATTACCAATTTCTCAGAGTACTGTAGTTTCTCACAAAACTTCAAATTATATTCTGATACTTTCCTCATACTATAAAATTTTTTTCATCATCAACTATTTCCTTAGTATCTATTATGTTTTAAACAGCTCCTTGATTCTATCTCTGTGTATCTTTGTCTAAAAATAACTGACAAGCACACTGCAGAGATTTTTTTTCTCTAACCCTAACTGGTATTTGTTTATTTGTTTTTATCTGGGTCACTACAGAATATATGTATATATATCTTGCAAATTACAGATGGGCCTCAGATTCTTGATTTGATAGATTCTAGTCAAAATAAGCCTTTCACTGTACTGCTTTGACATATGAAGCATTTATAGAAAGCATAAAGTGTTTTTTATTTTTAAACAAAATGAAGTGTCGGTTATAATTATCCCAACAAAGGCAGGCAGATTCTCTGACTATAAATATTTTAAGGATTTTCCAAGTTAGACTGAGATTTTAAGTTAATAATTATGATGTTGAAGTTATTGGAAGTTACTCTTTCAGTTGTTTTGTTCAAAAGTGGGAAAAAGCGGCTAGTAATTAGCCTTGCTCTGGGTCTGGTCAGTATCTATGTGGAGATGCCAAGTTTTGCTTGATAATGATAATGACATTTACATGATGTGCTCATATGCTAATTTCAGGTCATTAATACAATAATCATGTACCTAATCAGTACATTACTTTCCCTATTTTACAGTAAAGGAGATAGAGGCAGTGAGAAGTCCAAAGTCAGAGTTTGCAAAGAAGCTGGGATTTAAAGTCAGGAAATCTGACTCCAGAACCCACTGTCTTAAGATATATCTCCTCACTGGATATGAAAATATATGCATGTATATTTTAGGATGACTACTCTTATAGATACTGTTTGTTTAGTCAATTAAATAAGGCATTCTCAATCCCCCCATTTCTGTGTCCTCCCACTACAAAGGTTCCTCCCACTGTAAAACATGAATACTTTTCCAGCCCCTCTTTTTTTTTTTTAATTAACATATAATGTATTATTTGCTTCAGGGGTATAGGTCTGTGAATCATCAGTCTTACACAATTTACAGCACTTACCATAGCACATACCCTCCCCAATGTCCATAACTCAGCCACCCTATCCCTACCCCACCCCCACCCCCAGCAACCCTCAGTTTAAGAGTCTCTTAGGGTTTGTCTCCCTCCCCAGTACCATCTTGTTTCATTTTTTTCCCTCTTTGCCCCGCACGGCCCCCTGCCCTGCCTCTCAAATTCCTCATATCAGAGAGATCATATGATAATTGTCTTTCTATGACTGACTTATTTCGCTTGGCATAATATTCTCTAGTTCCATCCATATCATTGCAAATGGCAAGATTTCATTTTTTGATGGCTGCATAGTATTCCATATACCACTTCCTTTTTATCAATTCATCTGTTGATGGACATCTAGGTTCTTTCCGTAGTTTGGTTATTGTGGACATTGCTGCTATAAACATTTGGGTGCACGTGCCCCTTTGGATCACCACACTTGTATCTTTAGGGTAAATACCCAGTAGTGTGATTGCTGGGTCATAGGGTTAGCTCTATTTTCTACTTTTTGAGGAACCTCCATACTGTTTTCCAGAGTGGCTACACCAGCTTGCATTCCCACCAATAGTAGGAGGGTTCCCTTTTCTCTGAATCCTCACCAACATCTGTCATTTTCCAGCCCCTCTTGCAGCTATGATGGGTCATGTGATAGTCTTGCCAATGAGATGTAAGGAGAAATCTATTGGGGAGCTTCTGGGAAAGTGATTTTGCTTTCTGATAAAGGGGCCAGGCTTTAGAGGAGAAATTATTGGTACAAGCCCTCTTTCACTTCTATTTCTTCCTTGACATGGATATGACTGGTTAAACTGCAAGCCATGACATAGTCAGGGCCGCAGGCAGAAAGACAGAAGGACCAGATGCTAACTTCAAGAAAAATGGAAAGACAGAAAAAGTGGGTTCTTGATGATACAATGATACAATGAGCTGGATCCAACTCTATAGCCCCTACTATCTCTGAATATCTTGTTAGTATGAATAATAAATATTCGTAGGGTTTAAGCCACTATTCATCAGGCACTGTCAAATGCAGCTGAAAGCATTACCAACTGATATACATTCCAATTTTAATCAAGTAATAAAGTAAAATAACAAAATTCTAAGCTTATCTCATAGTAATCAAAGGGCTTAAAAAGGGCATTTCCTAATAAAAAATGTCATGTCATCAACATTACACATTAGTCAATGCATCAGTAAAATCAGGGTACTGAACTAGACAATATCCAAAGGGTATGTATACTAGTTCTAAAGTCCTATTCATTCTAAAAATTAAAACACTGCCTTGGTGGCAAGATTGAAGTACAGGAAGAACTACTCTCAGTATGAACCACCTTTAGTAAAATGATCCAAAGACAGTTTAAAAATAGATTCAGCACGCCAGCATAAGTATTTCATGAAGCTGGAGCATTTATACAATAAAGGGGGTAGGAAAGAAAAATTCTTGAGATGACTTGAAAGGAGACAAAAGGAAGGTGATAGGGCCAATTTCCTACTTGTCTTTGAAGAAACTGATACTATTGGGAAAATTCACCTGAAAAATACCATTTCAAACACTTATTCTACAGCTTTAGCTATAAAGCTATTGTCTCAAATAAATTACATCAGTGTGTTAGTCAACAAACAAAAGGAATAGCACTGAAGAGTGGAAGCACATTAGTCATCAGATGAAAAGAAAAGACAAAGCAAAGCAAAGAATGAAGGGGACCAGAAAGTGAAGTGTTCAGTTGTTGTTAAGAGAACTAAGGAAAAGGAAACCGATGGGTGTTTATAAACTTCCAAATGGCTGTACTCTGTTTCTGTGTTAAAGAGGTTTATAGGGAAAGAGGCTACTAAACCCAGTGATGGAGCTTTGCTTTTCAGTCTTCTCTAAAATTAAACTAAATGCATCTTCAAAATATTTTAGGATATCTTTAATCTTAGAATTATTGGTTTCAGCCATATTCTTCTGAGATTATAGATTCATCTAAATATGTAAATCTCTATCTTTGAGGCTTAGGGCTAAGAACAGATTGTCTCTGAGTAAAAACAGCTCTGTGTGAAGCCCTGAAGAGCAATGGAAATGAGAATAACTTTAAAAAGTCTCTTCTTCGGGCATCTGGGTAGCTCAGTCAGCTAAGCATCTGCCTGCCTTCAGCTCAGGCCTGGGATCGAGCCCCATATTGGGCTCCCTGTTTGGTGGAAACCTCCTTTATCCTCTCCCTCTCCCATTCCCCCAGCTCTGTTCTCTGGCTCTCCCTATTTCCATGTCAAACAAATAAATAAAATCTTTAAAAATATCTTAAAAATTAAAAAAAAATCTTAAAAAAAATGAAAAAGTCTCTTCTCCAGTGAAGGAAAAATAAAATAAGATAAAAACAGAGAGGGAAGCAAACCTTAAAAGACTCTTTGTCTTTTTAAAGATTATTTATTTATTTGAGAGAGAGAATAGGGGAAGGGGCAAAGGAGAGAGAATCCTGAAGCAGTCTCCCCACTGAATGCAGAGCCTGATGTGGGGCTGGACCCCAGAACTCTGAGATTGTGACTTGAGCTGAAATCAAGAGTCAGCTGCTTAACTGACTGAGCCACCCAAGAACCCCAAGGACTCTTAACTACAGGGAACAAATTGAGGGTTGCTGGAGGGCAGGTGGGTGGGGTAATGGGGTAATGGGCATTAAGGAAGGCATGCAACTGATGAGTCACTAAATTCTATTCCTGCAACTAATAATACACTATATGTTAACTAAATTGAATTTAAATAAAAAAATTTTTTTTTAAGTCTTTTCATTGATATCTCCCTTTACTCTCCTTTTTTCTGGGTGAGAATATCACCCTTCTTCCTAACTATACAACCATGTGGTATCTTCGGAAGGGTTTATTTCCTTTCTTTCTTTTGGAGAAGACATGATTCTTATCTCTTTTTCTAAAACCAACTGTGAAATTTAAGTCTGAAGTTAAAGCTCAGGACTATCCTGAGCTCACTCCCCTCTCAAAAACACATAAACACATAAAGGGTACAAATACACATACTCTGAGAAAGATCTAAAAACTAGCACAACTCTTCAGAGCTTAAGATAGGAAGAAAAAGCCACACAGAGAAGGTCAGTAAGGGTAGAGATATGGTCAGGAACTAAACCCCTGACATGGTGACCCACAAGTGGCAGGACTATTAAGGAATGGAGCCCCCCCACCCCACCCCACCGAGAATTGTGGGATTTAGCCCCTACATTGTGCACTTCCCCCTGGAGGTGTACACTGGGAAGATGAACCCCTATAACATCTGGCTTTGAAAATCAAGTGAATCTTATCTCTGGAAGAATCAGAAATGGAGACTCCACTCTTAAAGGGCCTATGCACAATATCATTTGCTCTGAGACCCAGCACGGAAGCAGCAGTTTAGCTTTGCACACTTGAAAGCACTTGAGCTATACACAAAGGACATTTATTGAATAATTTTAGGGCATATGCCAGAGGTTCAAAGATTTACAGGAACTTTCTCTAGGAATGGAAGTGGGGGCAGGTACCATTTTTCTTGTCCTCCTTTAGCCTAGCAGGCCTGGTTGGCAGGTGCCAGTTCTGACATTCTCCATC